ACCAGATCAATCTTACGAAGTCTGCTGTTAAAGAAAATCCTGAATTACTTCAAAGCAATGTGAAAAGGGTAATAAGTATTATTATTGAGTTGTTGAAGGATTGTGTTAGTGTAGATAGTTTTCTGGCTAGCAAGAGGGCTAGGATCAAAAAGTTTATTAAAAAATAATATGTATCACAGGGCAGTCCTAAACTTGTATTTATTTTTCGCATGTAATAATAAAAAATTTCTTGGCAAAACCGTGAACAATGTTCACAATCAGCTAAAATGGCCTACATATTTTTCTGATTTTGAATACTAGTATTATAGAGCATTAAAATATTATCATGTCATCCGAACAAGATTCATTGAGACAACGCATCATTGAGCTTGAGGCTGAGAATGCTGAGGTTAAGGCCAAATATATCAAGGTTATGGATGAGAATGCAGAAGTCAAGGAGAATACAAAGTTAAGGTGTGCTTTGGAAGAACATGAAGCTAGGTTCACGAGACTAGAGCAGAGAGATAAAGAAAAGACCAACCTTATTGTTAAATTAGATGATAATATCAAGGAAATCAAACAATCTTCAGCTAGTACCAGTTCTTTTGAGAATCCTAACAATGCTGTTGCTGAAAGACAACTAGAAAAGATGGGTCCCAAAGGGACCTGGCAAAGCCATTAAATACATCTGATAGCGCATCTAATTTTGATGTATGTCAACCTATAGAAGATAAAGAGACAGATGATTTTTTTGATGAGACATATAAGAAAGTATTAGTGATGGGATAAGGAAACGCAATAAAGAGAAGAAACTCTAGCGTGAGTTATCTAGCCAGGACTTATCTTCTCAGAACAAAAAGTCTCAATTACATAAGAAAGAAGCGGAGAATATTGTTAAGGATGTATTTGATTTCACAGCTACTTCAGCATCTGAGAAAAATCATGCGACTGAAATTTTGCTGACGCCCGTCAGTAAAAATCATGTGACTGAAAATAATGATAAGAAAAATTCTATAACTATACTTTCTGTATCAAAAAGTAAAATCTTACTAAATTTAGCCAGCTTATACCAGAAAGCTTGTGATGCGGAAGATCAAACAAAAAAGGCCAATCAAGATGAAATTTTATGCTGGTACTACTATATCATTAAATTTGATAATCAGGTTAGAAACATTATGAAAAGTGATTGGATTGGCGAGAAAAAAGCAAAAGGGCAAATCTATGATTTTATTATTACACAACTTGGTACTAAACGTAATACATTGCAAAAACAAATTCAGAGAGCAAGAAAAATACACAAATTATTTGAGAAGATAGGAATAGATAAGGTTAAATATATTAAAACATATAGTGCGAATTCTATTTCTAAATTATTCGATAGTCAATTTCAAACTATTATTGATTACTTTGTCAAAAATCCAAATATGAAATTACCAGATGATCAGAATGTCTCTGACATAGATTCTGAAGAGGAGATTTCGGATGATCAGACTAATACATCGGAGGCAGTTTCAGCTGGAGTAAGCATCTCAACTGCACCTATTCTTTTATCTCATGACTCTAATTCTTCAGGTGATTTCTCTAAAATCAGTCCAGTCAATTCACCTAAAGCTGAGGTGAGTACATCATCCACAACTTCTTTTAGTTAGATAAATAAATCTAACAAATCTCGACTCCTGATTTCTATCTTGCCTAAAGACCCCGAAGAGAAACGAAAACATATTATTGGGTTGGTGTTAGAGCGTTTTCCTTCTCTATTTTTAAGCGATAGTAGTGAACGTGGTGAGCGATTTAATCTTAATAGTTCAAAACTCTGTCCATTATGTAATGGAGAGCATAAAGAAAAAAGTATATAAAATGATATAAGAGGTGAATGGGACGCTGGTAAATATTATGGAGAACGAACTTATTGGCTCGAATGCAGGGAAGCTCTTAATCCTGACATTCCAATAGTATCTGTAAAAGCATAGACGAAAACTCCGTCATGTGAGACTGATCACCTGAAATGCGTAATGCATTGTCAGAAAAATTCTTGCTGAAGAATAGGTTGTGCGACATAATATTGCCATATATATTCGCATTATTTTTTCGAATTACGTAGGTGGCTTAGATATCGTGCACAGTAAAGCGTCATCTATTCTTCTCTGTAGTAAATGCATGTGATTCTGCAGAATATTCTATACGTAGTAGTAGTACGTCACCAGCATCTGCAGTCGTTATTTTTAGAGGATCTATTAATAACCCAGAGCAATATTTTTGTGTTAACATACTGATGAACTTTCCCCAAAGTTTTGGTATGTTCTATTTCACTCATTACGCAGTTCTGAATTACTAATAAAAAAATCATATCTCTGATTTACATTTTGCAGATCATAAGACAGGGCGTTGATAAAAAGAAATTCAAAAATGGAAATAGAGCCGATTAGAATCAATGATTTACAGATCCTCAGATAAATAGTATATTTTTATTATCCTACTGACATTAGCGCATACAAATTACGTGTATAGGCTAATCATACATTAATCTGTTTTTAGGATAAAGTCATAGGAATTAGCAGTATGTAATCCGGCATGGGTGATTTATCATCTACTGTTTTTACAGATCTCGATCTATGATTAATAATTTTTATTCAGATTTTTTTTTGCAATAGGGGTATATCAGCCAATTTAGATAATAAACAGTAGATATACAATTACTTCATTGTATAAATTTATAGCATATCAGTTTAGCATGTTCATCGGATATTCATTTTAATGCAATTTTTTTCCCCTGGACATATCAAATAAGCAGTATATTTTATTAGATAATCTGCGCATATTTGCAAATCGTGGAGGTATAAGGGATGTAAAATTTACGCCAATACTCCCGATAATTTTATTCCTAGAATGGCTAATTTTTCGTAAAAATATTCATGCAGATCTGTCTGATATTTTTTATAAATACCCTGCCTTCATTTTGATCTACATTATAGGGGTAAATGGTGAAGGACTTCGAATCGAATTGCGTTATAAACAAATAGAACTCCCACCTTCTTATATATTCAAAGCAAGAAAAAAAATATCAAATTTCTCTTGTGAACGACATCTCATATACAGATATTTAGTTCTTCCTTCGGTCTTTCTTTAGACAAAAATGTATTTTATAATATAGCTTATTCACATACTTGTACATACATGATCCCAGAGGGATCCAACGAATATTTCAATCAATTTTTATTAATAAAAAACTTTTCTCTTGCGTAAGGGCTCACGGCCAAGCATTTATGAAAAAATATTATTATTTCATTGTTTGAATATGTTGTTAGGGATATGAGGATACAAAAATGCACTAACTTTTTTCGTTTTTAGGTACAGGCGCCAGACAGGATCTTGATAATTTTCTTTTTTCAGAAATGAGAGGCATATACATGATATCATTTTCACAATTATTCCAGGCCTGTATTATTTCGACGTGGGTTCTCTCTTCTAATTATACTAGCATTAATGGGTAATTCTTTTGGGAACCTTGTCGTAGAACTGATTGTAAAATGTATAAAAGGGTGTGGATTCACCTTTAGCTTCACTAACGATAAATCATATTAATAAATCGTAAAAAATTACGCAAAACTACCTGTGATCTAACATACCTGAACATTTTTTTTTTCTACTTCACTCTGAAAATATTTCTACACTCGTCTTGCAAAACAACGCCTTGTGACATATCTTTGAAGACTTTACACCTTCTATTCTTCTTAGCGCATTTTCTTGATTTATGTCATCAGAAACAAATTCTCCAATGACCTCCCTTCACATGATAATAAAATCGCTAATGAGCTTTCTGCATGTATATCTGAAATCAATGTTAATCTCACCGCAGAAATCGAAAAAAATAAGGCACATGGTGAAAGTATTATTGCAGAAATCGAAAAGACCTTTATTGAAATGAACAAAAAGTTTAGCACAGAAGTTAATACTAAAATCGTCAACGAATTTTCCGCACGTCTTTTTGAAGTTAATTTTACTTTCACTGTGGAGCTTGTCAGAAACAATAATGAACTTAATAAGAAACTTACTGGAGAAATCGCTAAAATCAATTCTCGTGCTGGTTACGCCTCTGAGACGCAGAAAATTTTATCAATGGTCAATAATGCGACCACAAGACTTGATAATATCGAAGAAGCCTACCGTAATGATTTTGGCAACATTTCATCTGAATTTAATTCGGTCAGAGCCTCTATTGAAGCTTTCCGAAATGAAATGATCCAATGTTATGCAATTGCCCAAAGACTTCAGGTCGAATTTGATCAGCTGAGTGTGGCCAACCATTCCTCTAGTAGCGAAAGTTCTTCTAGTCAATTATCTGATTCATCTCTTGAAGAAAATAGGAACCGTTTTAAGCGAGTTTTTAATTCGAATAGGGAGGGAGATAGTTTGTATTATATGTTTGAAACTGTGAGATGCGAAATTCGACAACTTACTGGAGAAAAGATTGGGAAGGGTACCGTGAAAAGTTTTTATTATGGTGAAGGGAGTCCAAAATATGACATAGTAATGTTAATTATGAGGTGGGTAAATAGTAAAGAATTTAGTGATAGTGTAAATAATAATGCGGAGTAGTGAGAAGGAACCGCCATATTTGGCTTAGGGGCCGGTGTGATTCCTCCCTTTAAACGAGATCTACTCCAATATCTTTTATTAGTTTCATTTTTTACTTAGTTGGCCGGCCCTTTCTCACATATTACTTTACAAATATAATAAAGATTTTATTTTGAATTTTTTAAACGCGTGTGCGTGTTTTAATATATACAATACATTCTCAAATATAAATTTTGCGTTCGCTTATCAATGAAAAATAATTTGGCTTGTCAAATCTTAAAAATAGAGCAACTCGCATTATATAAATGGTGTAGGCTCACTTTGATGAAATTACGTAATACATACTTACTGCGGAATAGTATTGGAAATTACTGTGCCTTGTGTAACTGACTAACTATAACAATCAATCAGCACGAGTCATTTCCGACATGACTTCTTTCCTCACAATGTCCAAAAAATACGCTGATTACTTTTGTAAAACGCTACCAGAAAATTACAGTTTTTTTGGTTTTTATAAATATCGTTGTCAGCAACCTGACTTTACCTTTTCATACCAAAGGGAGTCCCGCAAACTTAGTAGCGATCTCGAGCAATTAACGAGTGAAGATTCAGAAGTAGTTAGGGCTTATGCGGGCCGGTTGCTAAAAGATCATAAGGTTGTTCTTTTTTTTATTTATGCTGAGGGTTTCAAACGTGGTTATGCGACTAGGAGGGACATCTGCGTTTGACCCTCTGAAGATCTGCGTTTCGTCGTGTATCACAGGTTCTTCCTTGTGCACACAACTACGGTGGATATCTGCGCTTATCCACCTTATGGTCTGCGTTCCGTTGTGTGCCCGTTGTGTACCCTCAGCTATAATTAGTTTTATTTATTTCTACTCTAAATATTATACTTACTCTATTGATTAGAATCAACGTGAAAAATATCCTGATGTTCAAATGTTTTGGAATAACGTAGAGTCATCTGTTACTAATTCAAGTCTAGAATTGGATAAGGTTTTACATTCCCATTTTTTTGAGTTCCTATTCCAATTCAGACTTTTATTGACTAAATATTCTGATTAGGTAAAGACGGCTCGAGCAGTAATGCATGGCACCAAGAGGTTGATAAAAACTGCTTTAAACGAAGTTGATAGCACACTGAAAACCGATGGAGGTTTTGTCTCTAATAATGTACCGGTATATTTACATATTTTCTTTTTTGTTCCACTTGCTTCTACACATATTCTTCTATAGTTGCTCATTAAACATCTCTATTCACTACATCACATGTGAATTTCAAAGAATGAACGACCAGCCGAAAAAGCTCTATCTGAAGGAGTTTCTTCAATTGGGAATACAGAAGCAAGAAAACGTCCAGCTGAGGAAGCCTCTCCCACCATCACTTCTCCTCCTAATCTTCGAGATCGTAGTCATCGCACAAATGAACCATCGGGTTCAGCCGAAGAAGTTTCACCAATCATCACACCTGCTGATCGTTCTCCTCCTCCATCCTATAAAAGTGTAGATAATTCTTTTGAAGCCGAAGCATCAACTGAGGCCTCTCCCTCTCCAGTAATGTTTTTCTGTTTTGTCCGTCGTATTATGTGCATAAGCATGTTGTTGAGAAAATTATAATTGATCGTAGTTCGGACCATGATGTGAGTATTAAAAAAATTCATCCCAATATGGTGTTAGTTCATTAATTATTGACCTCTTACCTATAGTGGATCATGAATGGATATAATATTTCAGAAGACTTTCGTGAATTTCAAACACAAACAG